CCCGCGTCAGGCGCTGGCTGCGTGCCGCGTCTTTTTGAGGAGATTTGTCCAAAAGTGCCCAAGCCAAAGGCCTCTCTCTGGTCTGCTTCTGTCTCAGCACGCCTCTCCAGACGTTGAAAAAATGATCCTTGGGAACAAATGCGATGCAAATGACAAGAGACAAGTTTCTCGAGAGCAAGGGGAGAAGGTGAGTGCTGGAGCCTTCCTGCATTTATTTCACCTTAGACTTTTCGGAGGGTAACAGCAGCGGCCGTTGCTGTCCGCGCCGCTTTGGCACCTGGGTGGTATTTGGAAGCGGAACTTGCCAACGTCTCCCCGGCTGTAGCTGCGAGGCCCTCCCCGCTTCCGAGGAGGATGAGTCTGTGTTAAGAATTCTTGTTGATTTTCTGGTCAAGACGTGCGAGGCGCAAGGCAGCGAGCTGGAGGGGGTTTTCCTTAGGAAAAGGAGGGGAAAAAGCGCGCAGAGTGGGACGTTTAGGAGGCTGAAAAGCCGCTGCGCCGAGGGAGAGGGGATTGTCCTCTCTGACGTCGGACGTTGCTCAGCCAAGGTGGAGAAGGGGCTGACAAGATAGCTGTGCACGGAGGGGAAATAAAAGACAAAGGAGCAGATTAAAACGCTGCGGGGTGTGAAACAGCAGGACAAGGCCGGGGGGGAGCAGGTGCTCACAGGAATGAGACTCTGTGCCGAATTTTTGCTAATTGTTCCACTCGGGTAAAGCCCCGAGTTGCTCCGAGTCGCGCTGGGAGGGGCGGATCCCGCGGGGTCGGTTGTATTTAGAGCTGTGCCCACAATCGCCCGACTAACGTGAAACCTGCTTTTGTTCAGCTTGCTGCGAGTTTTGGGATTAAATTTATGGAGACCAGTGCAAAAGCAAATATAAACATCGAGAACGTAAGTACGGCGACCCACCCCCTCTGGTTTTTGCCTCCTTTGGGCAAACGAGCAGTGAGGACGCTTGCCCGTCCTGGCTGGGCTGCTGGATACCGCAGCTGGGCCATGAAGTACAAATCCCTGTATTCCATGAAGGCGTTGTCTAACCTTCGTTATGCTAATTTATTGTCTAACCTTCGTTATGCTAATTTATTGAAATTGACCTTGGTGCTTAGCACATACCACAAGGGCGTTCCAGCCAACGGCGTTCGAGCAGCACAGTGAAAAACTCGGTTTCATGGCTTTGTGTTCAGTAACGCCGGTGCTGAAGGGCGACGTTTGGCCGCGCGAGGAGGCCTGGGGGTGGGGTGCGTCATTGGGGCGCTCGTGCTCAAAAAGGGGCAGGGGGGAGGAGAAAAGGAGCGGTTGGGGGGGGGGAACCTGAAAACTTGGCGTTCTCCAGAAGTTCGGTATGTGTAGAAACTTGGGAAGGCAGCGGGTTGCTACGCAGAGCTGTGCCCATGTCGCTTCTTTCCCGTGTAACACCCTAACGCTGTTGCTCGTCACAGGCGTTTTTCACTCTCGCAAGAGATATCAAAGCAAAAATGGACAAGAAGTTGGTGAGTAGCCTTGACCTGGTCCGCGCTGAATTTAAATAGGGGGGGGGCAAAAAAAACCCCCAACCAAAAGCCAAATGGGCAGCGCTGTTCCACAGTGCGTTTTGTGGCCTGTTTCATGGGGGATGCAGGGAGGGTTATAGAAATTTCTTTTTTGTTTTGTCAAGGTACGCTCTGACCTTGGCTTATAAACAGTCGTCTCTGCGTTTCAGGAATTAGCTGCGGTGGTTGAGGTCTTCTAAATAAAATGATCTTGGTTTATTGAAAGTCAAGTGAGTGGCAGGGCAGTGTAATGATACTTGTTGCTCTCGCAGTCTGAAGGACAGGCTCCTGTGGTCGAGGCCTACAGGAGGCCCGCTTCGTGTCAGCCTAGCCTTGTTTAAAAGTGGCTGAAGAACGAAAGCAGTTTCTTGCTAACCTTGGCGAAAGCGTCCTGCGAAATGGTTGGGTTCCCTCTTGTACACCACGTAAACGTGCATTGATGGCGGTTGTTCCCGACGCAATGACGCCAACACCGATTCCCTCTGTTATTGAGCACCCCCACCTTCACGTGGCCAGGCGCGTGCTGACAGAGCTGTGGTATTTGGGGTCTTGCTGACCATTCCCGAGTGCTCCAGCAAGAGCCAAACATGTCCCGTAGTGTTTTTGGTTTTTTTTTGTAATCTCAGCTGTCTTTGAGTGTATAGAAAGAAGAAGAATAGGCGCAGCACGTGTTAGTGGAAGCCAAAAGTAGCAGATGCAGTTCTCTAGTTCTCATAGCGGCTGACGGAAGGCTCAGATAGACGAGTGATGTCTCCTGTTGGTTTTAGGGATGGTTTTTGTGTTTAAAAAAAAAAAAAAAAAAAAAAAAAAAAAAAAGAGGGGATGAAGTGTGGATGCGAGATCTTGCAACGGTGCTGGAAGCTGTTACGTGTAAATCGGTAACTTCATCTTCTTTGCATCTTCAGGAAGGCAATAGCCCCCAAGGCAGCAACCAGGGAGTCAAAATCACACCAGACCAGCAAAAGAAAAGCAGCTTTTTCCGATGTGTTCTTCTGTGAGGGACACGGCCTTAACCTGAGCATCTGCTCAACGGAACTGGACTGTGCCTGCTCTGAGTGAGATTTCCTCTGTCTGTGGACTTAGCATTTCCAGCATACCTTGTCACGTTGTGACCATCTGAATAAGAAATTGTTTATTTTAGTAATTGTCTGACTCTTCAATTTTGGAGACGAAACAAGTTTATTTTTGTCAGATTGCCACTGGGCATGTGTGTTGTCTAGCAGAGGGAGCACAGATCGAATGTGACCTGTGACGCGGCACCTTTGCTGACAGGCTTCCATCTTTTTGCTCCTCTGTAATGTATCCCAGTGAGACAGATTAAGTTAGGATCAGAGTAAGAAACTGCAATGCCAATATTAGTAAAGTACAGGCATGTGTACGTGTGCAGGTCCACATCTACGGATGCACCAAAGCGTCGATGAATGCGCTCGGTAAGCAGTGCAGGCTCCTACCTTTGCAGAGGTAGAAGGAAGCTTTCTGCAGCTCCATCTCTTTGCTACTACAGAGAAAATCCTTTGCCTGTTACGTATTCGGTTGCGTTGTTCCAGACAATCCACAAGTACAGTTGATGTTTAAAAAAAAAAAAAAAAAATCCTCCTCAAAGGAATCTATTTTTTTAAAAAACCAAAGCGTGCTGTAAATAGAATGGATCCTTACCATCAGGATGTACTTCATCCCTGTTAGACTGGACCGTGCTGAACTCGGCACGCCAGGCACGTTTCCCAGGAGACGACAGCTACAGCGAGTCCCGTGCCAATGATCCCTCGTCCGTTTTTAGAGAAACGGGCCCTGGTTGGGGCAGGGGAACTTACTCAGAATCTGTAACGTTACAACGGGCGGCTTTTTCTTCTCCAGTTGAGAACAACTCCAGAGCTGTCGTGATGTAGTAGCTAGTTCTAAATTGTGACCAGAAGATATATTGCACTGCTTCCAGTTGTGTGTTCTCATGCACACTTGCTCACATATGCAAATAAATGTTGCACATACGAACACTTTCTGAAAACAAACTTTTTTTAAACTGAGATTTGCCTTGCTGCCGTCTATCGATCATTTCAGATTTCAAGCAGCAACAAACCTGTTAATAGCGTGCATCAATGCAAACGACGTTTAGCCCTCAGTGGAGATACTCTGTGTATTTATTCCTATAAACACAGTCGATGACATTCCGATGTGTAAAAGGTAACGGCCAAGCACAGCTCCTAGGTAGCTGATCGCTCGCAGTTCAGCAGCTGTAAGCCTGACTCTGAATTAGACTGACAAAAGGGGCCAGTAAGAGCCAGCTACTCCAAAGTCTGCTGTCAAGTGATTGGAATTACAGAATATTTAATTCAGATGAACATATCAGCTGTGTCCTGCAACTCACTGGAATTGTTAACATGCTTTGTTTACATTGACAACTGCACTTAAGGGTAAAATTAAAGCTGATTTTAAAGTTAATGGATTTACTCACCAGTTTTGTTTTCTTCAAGTTTGTGATATTACGTTCTGGCCTCAGAGTAGCGCTCGTGTTACTGCAGTTAAAGATCTGTCAGGTTCATCATTAAACTTTATAAATCTGCAGCATGCAATTGGGCTCGGCGAGAATATTGCCTGGTTTTCAAAAATGGTGAAAGGAATTTCTACTGTAGAAGTTACTGGTTCATAAAAATGCATTTTATATGCTACCAAGCTTTTTTTTTTTTTTTTTTTAATAGCTAGCAGATTACAGCGCGCTCTGTTCATGATTTAAGTCGCACGTAAAGCTTTCCTCTAACCGGGACCTTACCATGGGGATTTTTTTGTTTACTTGTGGCTTTTTAGCGTGAGGACGTGGTGAACGTGCACCATGGTGGATTACCCGCAGATGTATTTGTAGGATAAAATCATGTTTGGCTGCTGAAGAGCTTTCTAGTCAGTATGTGCTTCAAGGCGTAGTTGATACAGAGCTATAGATCAGACAAGCGATGCTTCTATCTTGAGATAAGGATGCTTTTAAAGACAGACTTTGTGTGTGCTTCAAGAAATGGAGGCAGAATTGGGGAGGCGATGAAGGCATGGTCTGAATGTTGCTTTCCTATACAGAACAGATCTGTTTCATGATTTGTTTCTGGCTTAGTAGTAAATGCGGATTGTCTCGCATCCAGCCAGCCAGATGTTGCAGCCAGACTTACTTTTCAAAGCGACTACTGGAAAAATAATTGGTGGGTTGTAACTTGGTATCACAGGCTGCCCACCGTGACACTGGGTATCGCCCGTTGACAGTTATCTGAATCAATAACTCCGCCTGAGATGGGAAGGAAAACCGTATTAACATACAAGGGGATAGAACATGAAGCACGGCACTGTGCTTTTCACACCTCGTTTTCTAAATCTTGAGTTACTCTTTTTGCGTTCGAAGCCAACTCTTTGTAGGTGGCTACCTTTTGTTTAAACTTAACGCTGCTTGTTGCACGTGTTTATGTACCTAATTTATAGCATGATTTCCTTTTGCAAAAGGATTGGGTTTACTCAATGGAGAACTACGTTATTGCCTGATCTCAGGAAGTTTCATGCAGTTACTGTGACTACAGTCATCACTGTACTTCTAGGGTCTAGAGACTACACAGAATTAAATCAGTGTAAGCAATATGAAACTTAAAATGCAAATGTAAGACAGGAAAAGGTTAAAGCCACTGCGTGTGTGCTTGGCTGTGTCGCTAAACACGGACATCACATCGTGGATAAATCCCGTATGTCGTTGGTGTTTCCATCCCGTAACTAAATTACTGTGGTTTTTAAGTAGGAATGTTATAGAAAACACAATGATCAAAAGAGGCACTGGGTGAATACAGACAGGAATGCAGTTATATCTAAGCTTGCTTTAAGGAGGAAAAAATCTGAAACTGGATACAAAATTCATAAAACTGAGGAATTTAAATAGATAAAAACTACCAGTGTGCTCACTGCGCATTCTCAGTGTTGAAATGCCACTAAAATTTCAGGTAATCGATTAACACTTGGTTTGTAAAGAAACAAACCCATTTTTGAGCATGTTCTCAAAGTCCCTTACTTTAACGAGTATCATAGAATTCTGTGGTTGACCTTATTTTTGAGGCTGGTGGCAATATTTCCGATAGTCTTCACCCTTGCGGGTGTAGGTCTGTCAGTAGCTCATCTGTCAATAGATGGTGGAACTGCTGTTTTTAACACTTGGCCATTTCAACACTTAGGTTGTCTAGGCCCTATGCTGACAGGCACACCTCACGTTCCTTGACGTCAGAGCTTGATGCCAGCATCAGACTTTCAGCCTCAGATTTATAAATCCTATGGATTATTGTAAATCTCCTCACTGCTGCTGAAAAAAAAGAAATTATTTGGTCTCTCTCCTTTCATGTGAGATGCTAATCATCTCGCTGACAGTTGCTGAGGGTTTTATTGTTGTGGCGGCGGTGTCTTTGGCTGATGATTGTGCTCAGAAGCTACCGTGATTTCTTGTTCTCTTGGACTTGGAATGGCTGGGGTTCATGCTGGAGAGGAAATGGACAAGCGGCTGCGTAGAGGACGGTCTCCATTTGTGCTAGAAGTCCATAGGGGTTGGGAAAGAATGATGCAAATTTCTGTCTTCATTCATAGATTAAATACAGATCTGTTCAATCGAACGGCAATGGTAACGTGCAGTCTGCTTATTTCAGGCTGCATTATGCTTTGACCCATCTCTCACTGATCACTGGGGGCGTTGTTTCTGTAGGTGGTACAAGTTTAGCGGGCTGGTCTCTAGCCTTTCTGCAGGAATCGTATGCTCTACGTTGAGCGTGAGTTGGGACTTAATGACTTTGTTTTGAAGGGAACTTAAGGCATCCCAACATTTTTAAAAATCACTGTAAAATGTGTTTTTTAGAATCCTGCTTTCTTAAACACTTCTCATTGATTTTCATGTTTGTATTAAAAACAAAATTGTTGTTTATTACAGTATGTATGTTTTTACTCTGTTGTACAGGCCCCTGAGCACTGCATAAATAAACTTCTTATGAAAAGAGCATTTTACAAACTTGGTTTGTCAGTCTTGTTCATCATTCGCGCATGTAGATTCTGGTGTGGAAAACAGGGTAACTAAAAACAGAGAAGAGGGACAGCAACCCAGGGTAGGCTCTTCTCTCCTTTAAAGTATGTTGACTTTTCATTACAAATTCTGAAACGGAGAGCTCTTTATATTCTTCTCAGAACCTGTAATGGGCTTCTGTGACCCACTGGATAAGATATTTTCTTCTGAGTTTTTTTAGAAGCTGTAATTTGATAAAAGTTCCTTTACTACCTGGTGGTACCTGAACTTTAAAAGATATTTCCCATCTCACTGTCTGGGCCAGATTTGCTCTAGCTGCAGGGGGGAGGGGAATAGGCATTTTGTTAAATTACAGGGAAATCTTGATGAAGAACTTAATGATTAGTTCCTTTTAAAGGGGTAAACAAGAGACAGAGTTCTCTGACTGGTGCAGTTACCAGAAATTGTCCTCTTTGGTCCTCTCACTTTGCTCTCTCATGGACAGTAATCTCGGGTGAAGTCGTAGTTGTTGAAGGTTCAAGAAGCACTTCCCATCCACGTTTCACTAGATTCAGATTCGAATGTGAAATGTGCTATTAAAAAAAGGAAGTAACGATCACTTATGTATCCCTCTTCTCTGTTCAAAGGGATTCACTACAGTTAATCCTAGGACTGTACAATAAATTGGAAGCTATTCTGCGAAGCACTTGCAAAGAACAGGTATATTAAAAAAAGGCAAGATTAGCGTGCTGCTTTGTGTAAGACATGCATCAGAAACCGTATTGAGCCTAGGTTACGCATGGAGTGAGCTAATCTCATATACTTATCAATGCAGCCTAAGTGCTAATATTAACTTTTTAAGTTACAAGGACTTTCTGTCACGTAAAAAGCAGGTCAAGAAGTCTCCATGCTTTTTTAAGCATCTCTTTTCCCAGTCTTTGCGGTGGGCGCCTCTACTAGAAACTGCCTGGGAAGAGTGATGATCGGTAATGGCTGAGGAGGTGTAAAACACACACTTCAGAGACTTCTGACAAAAAAACTAAGAGCAATTTTGTGTTAGAAATTAAAGCAAATATTACCTGAGGAAATCTGGAGCTCGTATTATCATGTGCTGAAAGTCTTCCAAAGAAAGCTTGCCATCGTTGTCCACATCAGCTTCGTAAATCACCTTTTCACATACAAGGCTAACTTCTTCTGGGGTAAGTTCATTTCGGGTTAATTTGTTAACAGTTTTCTCTAGATCTGATTTGCATATGTAATCATCATTGTTAAAATCTGCCAAAGGAAACAAAATTAATTCAAAGTGACAAAAGTCAGCATTTTACATGGTTGACTGCCAAGAACTAATAGGAAGGGTTTGCTTCCCAGGCCGTAATGTATTTGTGTAAGCAGAACTTTCAAATCAGAAATGAAGTCTTGTGGTTACCCGTATTTGCTTGTATAAAAATTCAGTAACAAAAATCCTGGCATCCTTTCTCCTTATTTTACATAAGGATAAGAATTATACATAGCTTAATGGCTAAACAGAGCCCAGCCATAATTAAATCATTCTAGTAAATCGGTTCTACTGAATGAAATGCAAGACATAGTATGAAGTTAAAGGAAGAGAATGGGCTGTTCGGTTTTAGTGAGAGTTCCCTTTTTTAACATCTTTGCTGAATCATGTACTGTTGAAATCACAAAAAAACGTTGGTTGGTTCGTTTGATATATTGTTTGGCTTTAGCTGATCATGAAGAAAGTAACTGAAAATGGTACTGTAAAAAAAAAAAAAGATCTTTATATTTGTCCTTGGAGAAAAATGCTGGAAGTGTGCTTCCCTGGCTCCCACCTCCCCCTCCCAAAACCACCCTACAGATTTACAGGCAGCCAAATCCCTTGTGCTGCACTTTTCCAAGCAGCCCCTCAGACAGAAGTATTTCTTAAATGTTTATCAGCTCTTGAAAACTGCAGATGATTTCAGGTTGTAAATTTTGCAGTAAATCTTAATCCTAAATAAGTAAGAGAAGAACAGAGACAAAAGGATAAAGAAGACCAGAAGTTTCTAGGAGAGAGAATAGGCATTCCAAGGCAATGAAAAGAAAGACTGTATTAAAAACACACCTAACTAGAAATCATGATGGTGGCAAAATGAATATTTTGCATCCCTACATGAAGCTGCAGGATTTCCCCAAAGTTTACTTTTTTATGCATGTCTCACTCACCATAAATTTTAAAAGCGTAATAAGCTTTCAAGTCTTTGGGAGCCATTTCACTCAGCGCTGAAAACATGTCCAAAAAATCATCTAAAGTCATATTGCCGTCTCCATCCTCTGAGAAAACCTCTGCTATCCGCTGGCGGAATGGATTGTCCTGGGAAACAGAACGCAGGAGCAAGGGAAGGTCATCTTTACAAGCATTTATTTCAGTGCAGATAAGACACAAGATTATTTTTGTCGTAACCCCTTTTTGGCAAATACTCCCCTTTCTGGTTGTTCTTGTCTAATGTTGTGTCAGAGGTAGACACAGCTGCAGCCTTCTTTAACCTTTGAGCAATTTCAGGGTGTTTTCAGGGAATCGCTAGAAGCTTCCAGAAAGACTTTTGATTTCAGTAGCCAAAATGTGTTTGTATTTCAGCCTCCCAGTAATTAGTACCGGATGAATTATTTAAAAAAAGGGTAGACTAAACTGAAATGTGTCACTTGATTCCAGTTGTGTTCCCTGTTCTGTACCTTCAGCTCTGGCATGCTGCCAATGAGTTCATAGGGAAGCGTCACGTCTGGTTTATCTGTGTAGTCGAGTGGAACGAGCTGTGGGGCTAGATCTCGGTATCTGTAAAACAGTCTGAAAGAGAAAGAAAGGCTTGTTTAGGGAACAAGTTATTTACACCACGGAGAACAACATGTTTGCCTTTTCCATGTCATTCTTCACGCTTTGCATCCTTCACCAGACAGATGATACCGGTCACTGAATAACATTCAGTATGCTCTGTAGTTGGTGGTGAAAGAGACTGCGTTAAAAAGAACAGCTTAGGGTAACTGGTGGAAAATACAAAGCCTTTATGCCTACAGAGTAATTAGATGAAAATGCTTACACAGGTCAGGCAGCCAAACCACTAAATACTGTGTATCTGAAAATGGATTTTTACCAAGCTTCAGTTTTACTTCTATATTGTCAGCAATGGTATTCAGGCATGTGGTGTAGTTATGATTTATGTATTTATAATCACAAGGCACAAGACCTTCAACCTGAAGGTCCACCTAATCAGTTTCCAAACACACAAAAACTTGTGGCCTTGCGAAAGGGATCTGTTTTCCACATCCACAATGAATGTGACCAAAAATAATGGGCTTCAACTGGAGCATGAAAGATTCAGTTTAAATGTCAGACTAAAACCCTGAATGCCTAAAGCCATGGGGAGGAAGAGAGGTCTGGGACCAACTCTACCAGGTTTTTATCCACCCTGAGTATCTTCCTGTTTTTCCACAGAACTCTGGTTCAAGAGGCAGGAAAACACGCGTAATAATTTGAATGTATTCACCACTTCTTCAGCATGCTATGTGCTTCAGTTCTTGTGCTAGAGTAAGGATCCCATTCACAGCTGTTACCAACAAAACAATAGGACAGAATTTTAAAAGAGATTCTTATCAATAATAAATGTCTTATTCATGACAGAGTTATGACTCTGGCCGTACATGGAAAGGCAGACAGATTTAGATTTCAGTTATTACAGAACCATTCCTATTTTATCCCGTATAGAATTCATACACAGATATCAAGGTTCTAAAGAGGGACGTGCTCCCTACAAAATTGTCACTTGGGCTCTGCCCTTCACCGAAATTAGCAAAAAATGTGTGATGGCATCTTGAGAGATGCGGAAACTGAACACTTCCCTTTCTGTTAATACGCCCAGTTGTTAGGAAAGGCAAATGGAACTTCAGTACTACGTACGTTACCATCTGAGTAAGTATTTTTTACAACAGGTTGAGGTTTTCGGTGAAGGCTCTCAGCCCCCCCAAGAACAGAATACAGAACCTGACTTTATCGGATCCTTTGGCCAGAGATTAGATGGAGTGTCCAATGAGGTGCATGAAGAAAAGATGCACCTTAGAGTAGCAGGATAATTCTTTACATGAAGAAATGAAAAAAACTTGAATAAAATTTGACACAACCGTTAAGGTTTTCATGAAACCGGCAAAGCAGCCCAAAGAATACAGCAAACTTTGAAGCATTTGTCATAAAACAAGGTGAGGGGAACATGGATGTCACTGGCAAAGCATGCACTAAAATGTAACTTGTTACATTTATTTCTGATAGACTGGTACCTTAACACAAAATTCAGAATTCTGGCTCAGTTTAAGATCAATAACATAGGTTTTATACATAAAAAAGCAAAAAAAATGTTCAGATTTTCCAAAGGTATCGCTTTAAATTTGTGTAAATCCATTTTAAAATTATTTTTTAAAATACTTCACCCTCTATGTAACCTGTCTTTGTAGCAATCTGTTTTACGCACGAAATGCACACACAAGACTCACCTCAGAATTTCTTTCCTTGTAAAGAATGTGCAGTCCTATGAAATAAGAAAATATATAACATGTAACAACAGTTTTTAGCATGTGTTGGCCCAAACTTTCCAGTACAGTGACTTGAATACTGAAATATATGTAGCCAAGCATTAACGCGGTTTCTTTTTGGCATAGAGTTAGGAGTATTTTATAACCCTTCTTCCTGCTGTAAGAATCAAACTATGTTACTAAAATCTTTGCTGTAATTTAGTACTCCTACTTAGCAATTTCTAAAAAAGATTGTTTAAAGAAGCCCTCATCATTATTCAGTGTTCTGACCAAACAGCCATTTAGTTTGTTCTATACCTGATAAGCATCCAGTTGCTCTTGAGTGAAAATGGTTTGCTTGTTGCCCATTTCTAGCTCTGAATGCTGAGTCTTGTCCCATCCTTCTTTCCCCAGAGGCACCTTTATAGGAGGTCTGGATATTCAGTTATTAAAAGCTGCAACAATGAGGTTCAGGTATAGCAGAGGATCAAGTAACCAGCTTCCCTATTCCACAGGCTGCAAAGTATCATAACAGGAGCATTTAATCAAATCTTTAGTCTGGCTACATAAGGCTCTTGTCCAGCATCGCTCACCTGTCTCCTGTGTGCACAACAAAGACTCTTGTTACAGTTTTTAGCCAAACAACTAATAGCTGCTTGTTTGTGTCTTTGAGGGAGCAGGTAGACTTCATGGATCGTAATTTTTCATTCTTTCAGGTATGGTAAATTACCTGAAAAGTGTTAGTGAGGTCTTTCTTCTTTAAGAATTAACACCAAATGCTAGAAATTAGTAACAGTGATGGTAACCTCTTGACCTTTCCTTCTCACTTTTCCCTATGATACACATTGTACACTAATGCTAATGGTACTTTTTACTGGGGTAGTATCTGTAAAGTTTGCTCGCTCCCTTTATTCTGCATTGTCTGCTAATACACATTACTACTAGTTAATGATTATTAGCATGATGTGATATGCATCTACTGATACATATATGGGCTTTACACTGAAAATGCATGTGAGTATATAGTTCATATATATGAACAGAGATCTGATGTTACAGGCTGTATGGAATACAAAAAACAAGGGGGGGGAGAAGGAACTGACTGCACAACTACAGCATGTGGCAGGCTGCCTTATTTATTGATCATGGGCAAGCTGTAATATTTTCATTTCTTGGTCATTCCTACCGTCCGGCTGGGTGGGCCCCTCTGTCCGGTGGAAGATCTATTCCCCTCAGCGAAGGAACGCCGGCCTCACTCATCGGAGCGCCTTCAAATAAGCAAAAATTATTCAGAATTGTTCTGTTCGGCATGGAACGAGGCGTGTGGGGAGGGCTGGGGCTGGTTTTTTCTGGCGCAGCCCGGATCTCTGGGCTTTGCCCTCGGGGCGGCTTCGGCCCGTAGCGGCTTTCCCTCACAGAGGGAGAGGACGCCCCGTTGCCGCGGCAACGGCGCCGCGCGCGCGGCGGGACACCACCCCCCC